GTAAGATTTGACGTAACTTTGCAACCAGAGCAGCTGGAGTGTTGAAACTTTCTGGGCGTTACCCAGGACCGCGTTTTACCAACCTGGGTGAAGAAAACACTCACGTTGTCACTCACGTACGAACACGTGAAATTTGACGTAACTCTGCAACCAGAGCAGCTGGAGTACTGAAACTTTCTGAGCGCTACCCAGGTCCGTGTTTAACTAACCTGGGTGAAGAAAGCACTCACGTTGCCACTCACGTATGAACACGTGAAATATGACGTAACTCTGCAACCAGAGCAGCTGGAGTGCTGAAGCCTTCTGAGCGCTACCCAGGGCCGTGTTTGAGTGACTGTAAGCGAAGAAAGCATTCACGTTGCCACTCACGTATGAACACGTGAAATATGACGTAACTCTGCAACAAGAGCAGCTGGAGCGCTGAAACTTTCCGAGCGCTGCCCAGGGCCGTGCTTGAGTAACTGTAAGCGAAGAAAGCATTCATTTTGCTATTCACGTACGAACACGTGAAATTTGACGTAACTCTTCAACCAGAGCAGCTGGGGTGCTGAGACTTTCTGAGCGCTACCCAGGGCCGTGTTTGACCAACCGCGGGCGAAGAAAGCACTCACGTTGCTACTCACGTACGAACACGTGAAATTTGACGTAACTCTTCAACCAGAGCAGCTGGAGTGCTGAAACTTTCTAAGCGTTACCTAGGGCCGTGTTTGAGTAACCCCAAGCGAAGAAAGCATTCACTTTACCATTCACGTACGAACACGCGAAATTTGACGTAACTCCGCAACCGGAGCAACTTGAGTACTGAAACTTTTTGAGCACCACCTAGGGCCGTCTTTAAGTTAGCCCAATCGAAGAAAACACTCACGTTGCTACTCACGTACGAACACGTGGAATTTGGCGTAACTCCGCAACCGAAGCATCCAGAGCGCTGAATTTCTTGGGGATGGATTGGGAGTCATTGTAATAATTTCTAACAGTCATGGTGGTCAGTAACAATTCTTTTAGCTAGAAGCATCTGCCAGGAAGGACGTGCCACTGGCGAAAAAAACCTGCGGGGGAAACTGTGCAAAAAACGCATCCTCGTACCGGCAGCCGGTACGCTTTCAACTAGGTTTTTGTCTGTGCGGAACTGACAATGATTTACTGCAGTGAGTGAACAAGGTAGGTATAAAGCAGCAGCCACTCATGTAGTTAACAGCCTGATTACTTCAATTTTGGTGCAAAAATGCATGGTCGCATCGTCAGGCTTGATGCTCTCCACCCTGGGTTCTCCATGCAAAATTTACTGTGATGAATGCAGAATTTGAATGAGGGCAACAATCATTCATGTAGTTGATGAGCTAATTGTTTCCAGTTAAGTTCAAAAGTGCGTGATCGCACCAGCAAGCCTGGGGCGTCACAACCTAAGTTTTTATCTCCATTTTTTTGTGAAATCATGCTCCTGAGGCTTTGTCTGCGGTGTTCCTGTGTGGATTTTGGATGAAAGTTTAACAGCGGCGATGAATTCTGTCTTCAAAGTATTCCACATTCGGTGCTGACATTATCAGTTTTAGCTTCTTGCGTCTCTAAAGTGCTACTCTATTTCTTTGTGGCAATCGAAACAAATTAGCTGGTCTTACTTAAAGTTGCGAGTATTGCCTGTCGGTTCAGCAAATGCGACGAAAATCTTCGGTCAGCTGTTCATGGGCTTACTGCACGGTTTTGCTTATGTAATATTTTTAAATATTTTTGTACACACAATTGCTAATCGTGTACATGAACTTGCGTTTTGATCAGATATATCATTTTTTTTTCTTTGCGTTTTATAACACGACGTACTTCTCACAGCATTTCTTAATTTAGTCGTACAATAACTCCAGCTGCGAAAGTCTGTCCACTCGTTCGATGTCGTCATCCGATGCCGGCTGACGTAACAGCGGTAAGTAACCATTTGCACGCCGTTTTGCATCCCGTAAGAGTGTTGCTAGATAGAAATAGTTTGGCGAATCGTAGCGGCCCAAACAGCGCAGATAGCACTAGAAGTTGGAAGCAAATGAATTTTAATTTTGTAAGAAATCATGTTCTTCCTGGAAGAAGTAAAAAGCGAGATGAGTTGTCATTTTTTAGCAGCAGCATATTTGCTTGCTGGCATAAACTCTTGTTTCCTTTAGAGAATTGTTTGGGTGGCGAAATGAAGGTAAAGTGTTCGAAGTTCTACGTGTCACAAAAGCTCGAAGAAATAAATGAACAATCCAGCCAACACTCTTATGGGGAAAAGGATTGGAAGAGGAAGACCAGAGCAAGGGCAAGGAATGTTGATTTCCTTGTCAACGATTTCGATCCAAGAGCCGGAACGTAAGACTTTTGGTGCTGCAGACAAATTGCACTGTTTAGTGCTTTCGTTTATCGTTAGCACTATGAAATATCAGAGTATTCGTTGCAAAATGTATAAAAGTTTAATAAGCCTGTGCAATGATGCACTGAATGAGACAAATTCTATCTTGCAAGGACGAACTGTCTCTGGAGCAGCACACTATGATACAGAATAAACAAAAAGAATTCTGAAAGTTCGCTCCCATCTGTCGTTCGGCCAACAAGCATATCCTTCGGTATTCTGCCACCCGAACTGATCTTCCAAGAAGATTTTTATATAGTTTAGCAAAATCAAAGCTGTATTTACTTGAATTTTGAAAAATTCTGGTGGACAGTTCCGAAGGACATATCTAGCGGGAAATAGTGATGATTTACAATAGTGACGCAGAACGGGATGCTCATCAAAAGGCACCCAACAAAGTGGATATTTGCACGAGCAGTTGACCCATTCGATGAGCACATAAAACCATCCCCACAAATCATCCACTCGCCCCTAAAAAATATGCATTAGGGAATAAAATTTTAATTAATATAAAAAAACCCAGGCTGGAACTCACCAAGCTTGCCAGTGCGATCATGCGTTTTTGCATTAAATTCGCAGATCGCTAATAGTAGCAGTGATCCCTGCGCTAAGCCTAACAATTAGGTTCATATTGACCACGCTCTGGTCTTTTCTGGCATGCAGGAGAACGGGCGTCGGTTGGGATGAAGGTGTTGCATGGGCTCCAGGCACATGATTGCCAACTTTTATGCGTTTGTGTTTATATGCAAATGCAAAAACGCACATTGTGACGACCCTGGTGTGTATGCGTGTGCGTGTGTGTGTATGTATGTATGTATGTATTTATGTATGTATGTATGTATGCACGTATGTATGTATGTATGTGCGTGTGTGTGCATCTTTTCGGGTATTTCAATTCGACACCCAAGAAAGCTCCGGCGTCAAAATCTTGCAAGTGGTTGCCCGACCAAGTGGCACCCCAGGACCGCGGTACTGACCCTCACGCACGTCTAGGCCCCGCGTACGATCGCTTCAAAGTTTTGGCGGAAAAACCGCTAACTTGGGAACCAAAAACGCTAGAAAGCTGAAAGTTTGCCATTATGTTCTTCTTCCGCATAGAATTCAAATATTTCTAATTCAGCCTCCAGGCGTGCATGTTTCTCACGTATGGCTTCGTGAAGGTCCCTGGCGGGAAAATTGCTAACTTGGGATCCAGGAAAGTTAAAAAGCTGAAATTTTATGCGGGTTTTCCCAGTTCGTGTACAACTGAAATTTATCAGATCCAGTCACTAAATATGCGTGGCTTTCACGCACAGCCTTGTGAAAGTTTTTGGCGGGGAAATGACTAATTCGAGAACTAGGAGGGCTGGAAGGCTGAAATTTTCAGGAATGTTCCCAGCACACTTACAACTTGAAGTTATTAAATTCAGTTCCTCTCGGTGCGTGGTTCACACGCCCGGCCCCGTAAAAATTTTTGGCGAGAGAATGGCTAACTCGAGAACTAGAGAAGCTGGGAAGCTGAAATTTTAATGGAATGTTTCCTGTCCAAGTACCGCGTAAAAATCAGCTTCCCGAGCTTCGAACACTAGTATTCCACGCATTCTTGCTAGTGGGTTTCCGAGCAGTCTCATTACAGCACGAAATACTGTAAAAACGCATGATCGCACGGGCCGGCCCGGTACATGTCGCTAATGATTTACATGAAGTCCGAACGTTTTTTCGGTAAATGCTTGCTTTTTAAAAAAAATGCAAGTTTCTAGTTCATTAAAAGTGAAAGTATTGCTAGAGAGGTCGTTAGTCAAAAAATCCAAGTATGTAAATAAACTGAATGTTCATTTGCATATTTGGGTGAGGGCGGTCGTTCGCTGCAAAACGTACTCGGATCTGATTTTTCGGTACAGTTGAGTATTTCTCATACCTACCTGAAGAGAATTTTACATCCAAGCAGAACGATGATCGCAGTTGAAAGTAGAATATCCCAGCGAATTTTCAGCTTCGCACCTTAACTGGTTGGCAAAATAGCCATTTCGCTACAAATGCCTTTGAAGTGGCCTAGGTCGTGACGCAGTTCCAAATTGGTACTTATTTTAAGTATGCAATTTCCTATATGGGCAACAAACACGCTGACAAAATTTCAGTCACTGTTTTCCAGTAAGTTTTCGAGTTAGCACAGTACCAAGTTACAAACTTTGACGTGATCATACGCTATGCACAAGCGCACGTGACAAATGAATTTGAAATCTTTAGCTGCACATTCACAGAGAATATCCTTGCAAATTTTCAGCTTTGTACCTTGTCTGGTTTGCGAAGTTGTTTCCCGCCAAAGAAATCTGCATATTTTTTCCGGAGTCCGTACGCACGGTTTAGGCGTGTATAAGGGAAGATTTTAAAAGGGAGGGTGACACACAGGGTTGGAACACATACCCAAAATTTCAGCCTTCCAACTCTCCTGGTTGCTGAGATGAAAGTGAGTGACAAAATTCACTCGCTTCTGAGCATACACGCACACCCACACACGCACAGACAACCTCTCGACAATATGCGTTTTTGCTGGCTGTAGCAGCATTATAGTGCTGCAGTAGCATTGCACAGCAAAAACGCATAAAAATGTGGACGTCGAAAGTACGAATAATTCGCAGAGAAATCAGCATTTCTTTAGTTTCTAGTTCTTTGATTTCGATTTCCGCTTCATGGCATTAGGTGTGTTTTCAGTGTATCCCCACCTTCACAGCTTTTCGTTCATTGCTCACTATACTTTTTTATGCGTTTTTGCCGCGCAGCGCTAGAGCGAAGAACTAGAAACTAAAGACGAACATACACACACACAAACATACACACACACACACTCACACACATACACTGACAGGGTCGTTGCAATATGAGTTTTTGCTGCCTGTTGCAACCCTGTTAGTGCATGTGTGTGTATGTTTGTGTGTGTGTGTGTGTGTGTGTGTTCGTCTGTCCGGGTATTTCAACTCACTAACCACGCGAGCTTTGAAGCTGAAATTTTGCCGGTGTATTCCCCAGCCAGGTACCATCCCAGGACCGCGGTTTCAACCCTCACGCACGTCTGGGCCCCGCGTACGAGCACGTGAAAGTTTTGGCGCGGAAACCGCGAACTCGGGAAAGAGAAAAGCTAGAAAGCTGTAACCTTGGGAGAATGTTCCCTACCCATGTGTGACAAAAAATTTCAAATTCATTTGCCCAGGAGTGCTCGAGGCTTACGTACGGGCACGTGAAAATTATGGAAAATGAGAAAAGCTAAAAGTTGAAACTTTAGGACTTTGCGGTAATGTTTCATACTCATGCACGACCAAAAGTTTTCAAACTCAGCTCCCTAGGACTGCCAGGGGCTCACGTACGGGCACGTGAAAATTTTGGCACGAAAATCACTAACCCGGGAAGGGGAAAAGCTAGAAAGCTGAAACTTTAACGGAATGTTCCCTACTCATGTACGAGCAAAATCAGGTGTTT